GGATCCAAGAACGCAGCTTTCATTGCAGATTCTTTGGATCCTCCATCAGTGGTGTCAAGTCAAAGGACCTGACATAGAAGGAAAACAGGTACAGTGAAAGATGGCATAAATAAACTCTGCTCATGCTCATTATGACACTTAAAAAAAAACACGCAAAGCTGTCGAATATTCAAATATATTTGGGCTTTTTTATTCAGGATAGAGAGAAAGCAATGTCAGTGCTGAAAGGATTGTTGCAAGACCTCGCTGCAGAGCTTCAGGATGAGCGGATTGAATGTGACAGTAAGGCCAAGGCCACGCCGGGCAAGCCAGCTGAGGTAAGGATGGTGTTTACGCCTCAGGCATGTGTGCCCCGCTGTGTGTGAGGCTGTGTGTGAGGTTGCGTGATACAGCGGGAAGTCCTGCCGATGATCTGTCTCCCTGGCCTTGTGTCCGCCTGACAGTCGGTTCAGCGGGCATCATGAAAACACTCATGCCAGAGTATTTAGGCTAATCTTTTGAAGGGGGCTGCAGCCAAACAGGACAGGCATTTTCAAACATGCAGCACGAAAACGCTCAAACGATTCTCTGCAGTCCTTCAAGTTCTCCTGAATGATCATTTCCATCTCCTTTGTTATTCAATAAAGAAAAGCAGTTTCGATGCACAGCATGATTTAGGATCAGATTTATTATTTCAACAGTTTTTTTCCTTCTTAACCCACTGACTGGACTGTAATCCCTATTTTACTCTTAACTCTTTTACTTAACATTTAGTTTGAAGTGATGAAAAAAATAAAGACTCTACAGGCTCTCCAGCAGCTTTATTAGGCTTTATTGAAGACTTATTGGAGCCTATATGTCTCTGGGGTTATCTCTGTTATGAGTTTACAATGCTTTGTCCAGATAACGAACAGCAAATTCAAATGTTTCTGAAGGTTTGGTTAGTTAATAACACAGACGTGCCAAAATACCAAACAACTATAGATGCGTGATATTAATTATTAAACCCTAACGTAATTGTTAGTGTTAAATTATCAAGAGCAAATAAGGGGAAGCGACGGAAACATTATTGATTTTGCAGACAATGGGCTTTAAAGCGACAGTTCACCCAAAAGAGACAGCTTAGATTTTTTTGTGTCAGCTGCCCAGTTTTGGAGCACTGACGCTCACATCGCGGCAAAACAAAGCATCAACACTTCTTTGCAGAAATCATGGCCTGGTTTCTCATAAATATCCAGGACCCTTGTTGTGAGCAGTGGTTTTTAGATGTTATATAATTTTATATTATTTCCCCCTAAAATAAGGTTTAAAAAGCTTTTTTTTTCTTGCAAGTTTCACTCTTACACCACATTCAATTAGATGACAATATAGCTTTAATAATGAGAGTGGCCACATGATCAACACCAACCACAAAAGTAAAGTTAAGTTCACCTTACATCCAGTTAGCCATGCAAGCATCAATAGAACAGTAGAATCTGACTGACAGCACAAGGTTAAAACTGTGTAAACCTCAACTGTGCAAGCATCTGTGAAACAACATGATTGGTTCTTTTGTCTCCCAGTGGTGATTGGCTATTTTGTAGAAGGATCAGGACCACTGCAACTTTCACCATTTCACATTTCTGTCTCTTTTAATCATCGTGTCAGATGCTCTGTTTGTTCTGTACAGTGACGCAGTGGCGGATGAACACACTAAAGAGAAATAGTCCCTACATAAAATTGCTTACAACAAGTTCGTGCATTTTTTTCTTGGGTTTTAGTTTCTGAAGTATCTGACGTAATGTTTGGTGACATTTTCTTTCTCTCTTGGCTCAGCGTCGTGTTGGGGGTGTTTTTCAATGTGGTCGACACCGTGAAGCTGACAGGTCTGTGTTGTTCCACAAACTGTCATATGTTTTTCATAAGTTCACTGAAGTTGTAACTCATACATCACCTGGTGTCTTTGTGGTTTTTTTACAAAAAAATCTGAACCTGCAGCTCGACAGGAAAAAGACTCAGACGGCAGTTTCCTCCGTGCAGCTCTCAGAGGAAGAACTGGTGCTATCTGAGCCAAGAGGCTGCCCAGCTTGACCGAGAGGACCCAGTTAAGACGTGGGACCATCTAATCATGCCGCTTAGCTTCCCTGATCTTGACTTTGAGCAGATGTCCTTGGACAGAAGCCATACTGCTCCAGAGAAGTCTACCGTCCGCATCTACTACAGCCCCCCGTCAGCCCGCAGAGTCCAGCTGGCTCAGCTGAAGCAAAGCCCAGACAGAGGATCCGTGGACACGCCCTCTCCCTGGTGCACGCCGCCAACCTCCTTCTCACAGCTCTGTCTGGGCTCATCTGCCAATCTGAGCGATGACATGAAGGAAATGACAGCCGGCTGGAGGCAGAAGCGTCAAGACAGCTCACAGGAAAAGGGAGAAAGATTAGCAGGCCGGGGATGGGTGGATGTGTCCTGCTCCGGTACTCAGACCCATATGAAACCACAGATGGTGAGTGTTGGTCAGCAGACAGATGCGACTCAAGGGTTGAGCACCACGAGAAGCAGTCCTTCTCGGGCCCTGAACTCCCCTCTGGTCTCTGCCCGCTCTCACCACATCTCTGCCTCACTGGAGGGCATAACAGGCCGAGGGGAGAGGTCCAGACACTCCACCTCCTCACCTAAACTGTACCGAAGACAGTCTCTCCCCTCTCCCTCCAATCTGAGCTCCCCCTCCTCTGCATCTACCTCTAGAGATCGATCTCTGTGGAACCTGGCACATCAAAATCAGTCCGGCCTCGCGTGGACTCGACAAACCAGCTCCCGAGCAGGTGCTGGGCAGAGCCACGGCTCCCTGAGCAACGCCAAGCTGCCCGCCAAGTCCACCGGAGCCAACCGGTACGGCTTGGTGACAGAGTTCCTGCGTAGGGTGAGCGGGCGGGCAGACAAACCAGTGCCGGGGTCAGGGCAGAAAGCTAAAAGTAGCACGAGGAACCTGGAACGCGTTCCAACGAGGCCTCCCGCCGCCCCGCTCAACAGGAACGACAGCGTGACCAGGATCGTTAACCAGAGGTTCATGAAGCAGAGAGAGGAGGCCACCAAAGTCCAGAAGGAGGAGAAGGGAAGCAGCCTGAACCAGGGTGTCAAAAATGGCCTGAGCACCGTCACAGCAGAGGTGAGTGGAAATTATACAAATTATATTATATAAATACAGACAGGGCTCCCACCAGTTCCTCATACATTCATCTCATTATACAAAACACAGACCATGCTTGATATTAGCATCCTCTGCCCCATCATAACAACATATTAATGACAGAATATAAGACCAGCAGGTCCAAGTCAATACGTTTCTTCTCTCCGTTTGACCAGGAGAGGAGCTACGAGTGTAGCTCCAGCAGCACGCTCACCTTCTGCTTCGCCCGTCCGTCTCGCTCCACGCAGAAACAAACATCAAACCCGACCAAACTCCAAAGGCACAGGTACTCGCCTCCGGTCAGAGCAGCTGCAGACTCCACCTGCAGCTGAACATGATGGGAAACGGCAGCTTTCACACTGACACCACAGACAAATTTAGTTTGTAGGCTCGAAAATGTAAATTCAGCTTTTCGTGGGATGTTTAGGAGAGCTTTGAGAAAACTCATAGAGCTTTTGGTGCAATTAAAGTCACTCATCTTCTTTCACAGATGGGCTTAACCCTTAATTCACTTGCTTATAATTAATTTTGTAATATCTTTACTGTATTTTGTAGATAATAACTTTATGTTATATTCAATAAATAACAAGTTGATTGTGATCTTGTACGTGTGTTGATTTCACCCTGGTTTCATTTGAGCTTCAGAAACTGGTTGCCTCTGCAGTAACTGGCTCCTTCAGGGCAGGGCTGCTGGTTGTTACGTCACATGCTCAAAAAAGAAAACCGCTAAGATGATAATAAGATTTCCTCGCTTGTCGGGACCATGACCCAACCTCGGTTCCTCTCTCTTTAATTGACACATTAAAAAAAACTGAACTGAGCTCATCAAAGATAACTTAAAAATAAAAATGTGTGTTAGCGGCAGCAGGTCTGGCTTTCCTGGAGCAGATCAGCTGCAACACTTCCTCCTTCAGCTGGCAGCCGGCCAATGATGGTGGTGGTCAAGGACAGGGCAGAGGAGGAGGTGCGCAATCACACGGGGGTCACATTTCTGCTAACAACATGTGTTCATCCTCTGTTACCCACAGTACATACACAGCAGTGTCAGCTACGTCCCAAAAGAGTTCAGACGTAATCCACCAGACACAAAATACTCAAAAACACACATGAAAGATTTAAAAAATGCAAAAAACAAAATGGTAGAATAACTGCATTTGAGTTTTTAAATGCATTTCTTGCTGTGCAAAAAACAACCCTGCTAAACTCCAATCGATTTGTCTAAGAAATTCTTCATATCCTGTCAATTTGTTTTACCTAATTTGATTACTTGCCTATTTCCTCTGGGAATTCACATTGCTTCACTACACATTATGTTCCTGCAGCAGTTTTTAGTGCTTTCTAGCTAACATTCTGGCTCCAGTGAATGCATCTGGAGCAATTTGAGGGTAAGTGTATTGCCCAAGGTTACTTTGGCATGCAGAGTAAGTAGTAGATGACTTGCTTTACCTTTGAGCCACAGCCAGCCCAACATCCAATCTCATTTACATTTTACATACACTTTACATTTTTATCATAGTCTACATATATTATACTACAGATTATTCTTAGTTACCTAGATTAAATGTGAAAGATATGTATTAAGGTTTTTTTTCTTCCTATTTGGTTCACATATTCCTAATTTAACAGCAAATAAAGTGGTAAAAATTTGCATGTTGAGTTAAAATGCTTTAATCTCACAGCACTTCTGTATGTGCACTGTGTAACTGCTACCATTTGTACCTGAATAAATGATGGGAATGCCTCTTCCAGCTTTCCTTCGCCCTCATTTTGACTTTGTGGTGCAGTACTGAGACTCACCTGCAGGGGCGCTGCAGCTCATAGCCCTGTTGTTTTGGCCGGGATGTGTTCCCTCTTTGCTGACGCTTGTTGTTACCGGAGGCGGACAGGTCTGCAGCTGTTTTGGTGTTACTTTAGATCAGCTGAGGATGAAGAGTCGGTTATGCTGAGTGAATATGGAGCTTGTTTTTACACGGTTTGACTCGTTTGACTTTGAGGCGGATCAGCGGTTTGTGGACGGTCTGAAGTCCGTAAACAGAACCGAAACCGACCTGCTGGACCTGAAACTGTTCTTCTACAATAGGTAGGAAACACCTGGATCACCCGGTTAATCATTTGTGTTTATCTACACCCCAGTGTGCACTGATTAGATTGATTAAAAACGAGAAAGTAAAAGCGTTTGAGATTCACGTTAAAAATGTTGTTTTCTGGTTTACTACATTACAGAATGAAAAGTGTTTTGCGCTCCATCCCAGTTTCATGGTTACTGTTAGGATTTTACATCAATGGCAGAATAAACCAGCTGCGCACATACAGCACTTTACCTTTATCTCTGTACGCCTCACATTGGATTACAAGTCAGTCAAGATGTGACTCAACTGTAGACTTTCAGCTTTAATTCAAAGTTTGTTTTTTGTAGTTTTAGCTGTTATTGAATTATGCAAAGTCCCCATTTTCCAAGGCTCAATTTGTAATTGGGCAACTGACTAAGAAGCAGTCTGTCGCCCTGATGAGGCCTGTTGTCTTATTTCATGACAAATGAAGCGAACAAAATATTTGATATTGATTCAACGTGTTTAATTAGTATTTTTATAGCTGCATTTTTAAATAAGAGTGCCAAAGAGATGTCAGTTTCCAAGTGAGAGACTCCATCATTAGGCTGGAAGACGAGATAAACCTATCAGAGAGAGCTAAAACTGTAGAAGTGGTCAAACCGAATAATCTGGGCCATTCTTTAAAAAGGAATGAAGGAATGCGTTGTCCAGCTCGGCATCACCAGAATTATTTCCATGGTTAAGATAAATAATATTCAAAGCAGTTCTGATGTCAGGATTATTAGAAATTAAAGAAAAGCAGGACATCCTCGCACTGGAGAAGCTGGAACTGAGAAGAGTTTGCATCTGTGCTTGAGAAACTGCAGACTAATTAATTTGGTGTTACCCAGCATGTTTAGTTTTGTTAATGCAACTCTCCAATGATTTAGTGGAGAAGTGTCTTTGAGGACCTCATGTTTCTACTTGACCCTCTAAAGCCAGAGTCATGAAACATTTGCTAGAATTTTAACCTGAGTGTTTATTGAACCCTTTGATGGATTTAGAAGAAATTAAAAAAAAAAAAAAATCTATTTGCACAAATGAGTTTGTATTTTTTTACTACAATTTTCCAAAGCACTTTTTTTTTTTTTTTTTTTTTTTAAATACAAAGAGATTAGGGTTACAAAAAATCACACTAATGACGTAGAGGTCTCAAAAACTTATATCAGATACGATACACTTCCAAGGTTAAAGATGGTAATCGAGTGAATACAAGGCTCTGCTTTTCCATTGTACCTTGTTAAGATCAATAATCAGCAGTGAATGCGTTAAAGCATTTTGTGATATTTACCTTAATGCCCAAACTTTTTTTTTTTAATGCCACCCTTCCAAAGAAACAAAATATCAAACACAAACCTCTATTCCCGTTGTCCCCTCACAGGTTTGTCGAGCCCATCGACCGAGCCGGCTACAAACAGTGGAGCTCTTCTTCCGGTATGAGAGGCTGCCCTGTTGAGAAGCTGGACCAGACGGCGTCGTCACATTCAGACTCTGAACTCACAGCAGAAACTTCTGAACCCACAGAGACAAAGCAGCTCTCCTTTGCAGAGGTGATGCAACTGGTTCAGGAGGGAAAGGAGGTTCCCGGAGTGACAAAAGTGGACATAGAGCCGAGCAACCAGAATCCCACTCCCTCTACAATGGAGCGGATGTTAAAACCCTGGGAAACCGCATCATCATCCCCGGAGTGACCTCTGACTCTTTACAGCACTGTGTAGATAAAACTCATAATAAAAAGTATGAAAGGTTGCATTGCAAACAGCCTGCTGTTGTTACAACTGCAGAGCAACAGTCATGTCCCCACAGCAGTCCAACATAAACATACGTACAGCTTGTCATACAAAACAGATCTACATGTCCTACACAGTCACCACTAGAACAGATGGAGTAAATGAAATCTGTGTCTGTTGGTGTGTTCTTTGGAGAAGCTAAACTTTCATTTAATGGAAGTAACTAGAAATCTGTGGTCTGTGTCAGAATGATGGTCTGTGGCTCTGAGAGGAGCCAAATTTCATATACAGTTGTTGTTAAAAGTTTCATTTGGAGCTTTTAATGATTTATTCGAACTGTCCTTTTTCCAGAGTTGAATGATTTTACAGCAAACATCTTTAATTACTTCAAAACAAGATTGGGCGCACGCGTAACTGCAGCAGCTGTGGGTAAAATACTCTTACAGCACAACTTGACAATTTTCTAGTTTGCTCCCATTTTTAAAAACACAAAAATAATAAAAGTGGATTGGTTGGGTGGTTTTGGGTTTGAATGAACCAGCTGATCTGCCTGTGCAGGTTCTCACTCATAGTCCAAGAACCTGCTTATTGGGTTAACTGGTGACTCTAATGTGACCATGACTGGTTGTCTCTGTGATGGATTGGTGACCTTTCTAGTGTGTACCCCACCTCTCGTCTCATGACCTGTTCAGCAGTGCTTAATTGGATAAGTGGAGAAGATGGATTTAAAGATTGCTGCAATTCAGTTTGCATTAGTTGGTGTACTGCAAGCATTTCAGATTATCATGGATTTGACTATTTGAGAAAAAATATGAATGGAATAATTCATCTTTTGGTATTAAAGTTATATTTTAATTGGGTGGTGTTATTGTTTAATTGGGCATGAAACAACACAAAAATGTGTGAGGCAAAGTTTTCAAGACGTGGCTTTGGAAGTCCATCTTGAGGACATAATGGTTTCAGACCCACATTGACAGCATCTGTTATTATTAAAGAGCCCATTGTAAATGTTATGAATTCTCTTTTGCAGCTTTCCTTTACTTCACTGTGTGAAGAAAAAAGACTGGAGCAGGATATCCTGGTTTTGTTGGTCTTTATTTTGTTATCAGTAATACAGATTTTGGCTCAAGGAAAGGCATTTTTGGCTAAATTAGTTCAGACAAATGAAAATAAAAGAAACTTTTTCCTTTAACAGCACCTTTTTTTTGTAATGCCTGAGTAAAATCCCATGAACACTTTTTCATTATGCCCCAACATTTTTTCTCCCTTCACAAAGATGATTAACTATCATGCTAATATTTTTCTACATCTGTTTCTCATTTGATTAAAACAAAGACACTTGAAAATCCGAGCACACTGCAAAACAAAAACCTACACAGTTCACGTTCAACTAATGTCAGCATAAGATGAGGAAAAAAAAAAAAAGTGTAACAAACATGCAAAGTTAGCACCGTTGCAGTAGCACCATTAGAAATCCCAAAAGAAATGAGGTAAAAATCAACATCTGTTGTGTGAATACGTTGACAGTACGAAATAATTATGTGATCAAACACAGTGACTCAGAATGAAGGGTGCCACCATTATCGAAATCTTCAGTAAAACTAACATAACATTACAAACTTAAACCTGACACCTGAACAGTATTTCAAAAACAGCACCAAATGTTCAGGTCTGCATCAGTGGTTTGTGTGAAGCATCAGCACTGATGTTACCTGATGTCGCTTTGAAACAGTGCATTTCTATTATTAGTCTCTCCATCATTTACCTGATTAATCAACAAGCAGTTTGGAGAACTGAAAAACGTGATTACAGTACGATTTTCTGCAGCACGACATGACGAGTGTGTTGTCCCCCCCTCGTCCTCAGTCAGCAACATCATCATAATCCCAAAAAAATTAGTGCTGGAAGTAACAATTAATCATTCTACTGATTACACTTTCAAAACAATGAACTGTAGCTTTTGAATTACAGAAAAATGTTACAGAGCATGAATACCACAGACCAGTAATTTTCCCACAAAAGCTATTCAGTTTATATTTGGTTAAAAAAAGGGGAGAAAAGAGCAATTTTAGGACCTTGAAACTGAGAACGCGCTTAAAAAAAAAAACATAACTAATATAAAATAAAAATAATTCTAAACTGTCATTATTTGATTGTTAATTATTATGAATTTATTGTCACCTCAGGGATAGAAAAGCACATTTGAGAAACTGAAACAATCACTGATGATTTCTTTTTTTTTTTTTTTTGCTTGACACATAACCTGAACAATAGAATTAAAAAAGATTATCATGTAATTTTTCTAGCAAATGGCTGCAGCTGTTAGGCCATGTAATTAGATCAGCAGATTAGCAGACGTTTCAGGTCCTTGTTTGAGGCTGCAGTTTTGATTAAACTTGTAAAACTTATGTCCTGGTGCAGTTTCATGTTTACTGCTTGATAAAAATCAGAAAATATGGATGCTGGACTACAAAATACATACATAAACACTATGAAATTTAAAAAATTGCCACATAATATTGAATCTAACTATGAAACAGTTAAAAGTTACATGAAAAGTTGCACTACTGTACCCCATTTTTTTCTACAATGACAGTCTTATTTTACAGTCTTACACATGAACGCGGCAGATGAATTAACAGTTTATTTTATTTTTCAAATTAAAAATTAATAATTATGCAATTTGTTAACAATGTTTGGCAGCCAGATGCCTCAAAGTACTTTTAGAACTTCCCCTCTGTGAATTTAAACTTTCACCATGAGGGGGCAGCATTTATTAGTGGGTGTGTTGAAATGTTTCTGGATGTGTACTTTGTACACACCCAGAAACATTACCAGGCCAGGACTGTAAATATTAGCAAACTTTGAATGGCCTACGTTGTTAAATAAGGGTTACACTGACCCAGTTTACCATGCTGTGGTACAATGTGGTATTACATTAAAGTCCAGTCCAGCCCCACTTCAACTCCAGTGGATATCCCTTTAACAAAATACAGATTTTGAACATAAAGTCAAAGGTTGTTCCTTCAAATGATGTTAAGGGCTTTAGTTGGTTTCAGAACCTATTAAACTATTCTTTAAAACACAGGAAATTAACTTTTTTTACTGGCCAGAAAAGAAACCACTGGAAATAAAAAGCCGTATTTCCAACTTTAGTAGACACTGCATGTTCTGACAAAGTCTGACTCGTGTGGCTTATTAAAATACTCAACTTGTCGTCAGTAAGTAGATTCAAAATATTTTTGATCTTGTGTAAGTAAAACTCCTTAAAAAAGACAGAATTGTAGCACAAATGCCCACCTGTGGGGTAAAAATCACCACTATTAGAAGCACCATGGTGGGATTCTTCAGACTGAGTTAAAAAAGTGTTTAAAGATTAAAAAATGTAAGTAAAACACAATAAAATTCATCACAGTAAGAATTAGGTCAGACTTAAAATCCCTGCCTGGAGGATTAAACAATAAAAACATGATAAAATACGGATCACGTAGAAACAAAGCAATAATGGTTTGTGTTCACCTGTAGCTGCAGATTTGAAACCATTGCTGAGGTAGTGAGGAGGCCTGCACCATGAAGGGAGTTCAGCGGCTCTCTGGGACCTTGGACCGGGCTGAGGGTCTACATATTTGTGTCTCATTTTTAAGCAAAACAGGCGAAAGAACAAATTAATCCTATAGTGACTGATTTTAGGCCAGGTAAGGCCAGAGTCAGAAAAGCTGAAGCAAAAGATGTCTTTGAAGTCTCAAAAACATGATTCAGCACTTACATAGCACCATTAGTGTTAATGAAGAGTTTATTCTATAATATAGAAAACTATAGAATGATATTGTGCAGGATTTAGTGTGTTTTGGCTCTGCTGTGGGTCCAGAGGGAAATATAATTGGCTCTTGTATACTTCACTGTAGACATGAAGTTACCACTAACCGTGCATGTTATCAGTTTGAAATCGCTGACACTGAACCATAACAGGAACACTTCCCATGCATCTTTTCACATCATACAGAGTAAAAAAACCCAAAAACCCTGACTGTAGCCTGTCAGACAAAAACATTGCAGTCATATTTAATTAAAAACCTAATTAAAATCAATATGTGGATTTGATAAGCGGCTATGATCTTTCCATTCATGATTAAGGTAAGCAAGGAGACTCCACTGATCCATAAAAGCCCAAAGATGGCTCGCAAACCACTTCAGCTCACTTCATGATGCAGGCCTGTGTTCTGAGCAACATAATTGTTTGATTACAGCAACCTTAAAAAAAACCCAAAAAGTGTCTGTGCCTGCTGGTGGTGGAGGATCACTGATGACTGACAGGATAAAACAAAAAAGAAATGAATTCATGAACAAACTATTTCTAAAAGTCAAAGCTACATTCGGTCCTCTAAAGAGAGACCAGAGAGTTTAAACTAACTAGCAAGGCGGGGCAGGATAAGGCATCAGGTTTACCGCTCCAGCTCTGATGCGAGGATTTGCTTCACAGTTGCTATTCACATTCAAAATAATCCTTCAGGGGGGCAAACAGGTGACGAATCACAGGCACACTCCAGGAGCGACCCAGGACTTTCTGCCTTTGCATCCGGCCCATGTTGTTCACGTCAGTGTAGTGTTTGGGGAAACCAAAAATCCTAAAAAAGGGAAACCACATGGATAGGCCTGTATTTTCTTAAATGTCATAACGCTGTTAATGAAAAGCCTTAATGTTAAAAATCCTCAGATTGGTGCAAATTTTTTCTGATTTGGTTTTTATCACACTGCTGTTAGAGACTGTAAAAGCAAATACAGACTAACAGAGAAGAAAACACTCCCTGCGCATTCTGCACAATAACAAGATACCCTAGTTTGATTCTCGTCATATGCAAACAACTGCACACACGATGACAGGTTGGCCTATGCAAACACAGCTGAATCCATTTCCAGTTAATGTGGGCCGACCCGTGCACACTTCCTGTTAACAGTAAAAAGGTGCAGAGTGAAACAGGGCTGTAATTTCCAGGTTTCTCTCATCCAATCAAATTCTCCCTGGTCTTACAATCGCTGATGTCACATCAACAAACTCCCAGAATTAATTTATCTTTGAACGGACTAAAGAAACACGGACTTTAAAAAAAGCATAATTTGACAACTTTGCAGCTCAGGGTCAGAATCAAAGATGCTGCCTTCTTTGAAGTTTACATCATTGCTCACCTGTCTTGTCTCAGGACCAACTACTAAGCCCAAGTTTCATGTTTAATGCTTTAGGATTTTAATATGAGTATATTAGAATTGGCATATCATATCTGGTCTAAAGTTAGGTACAAACTAGAAGTGATTTACAGTGATGTGGTGACCTGACCATAGAAAGTATCAGCAAAAAAAACAAAACTTCATTACAAAAAAACCCAAAACCCCAAACCCTGAAAACTTAGTCGGTGCTCATTTCACTTCCCGTTGGTTATTTCGCAACTACAGTCGTCTGCAAGTGACCAGCTGTCAGCTGTAAAGCGATGTGTACATGCAACTCAACTGCAGTGCATGTAGCTTAATAAACATTATATGTAACTAGCGTGTACTAGTAGCAGCAGCTACACCCATGTGACGCTGAATGGGAAGAGCTGTGTAAACTAGTGCAGCACATCAACGCTTTGTGGTGGTTTATATTGTTTTGCTTTTAGAAACCATTCAGGCATGTACTCAGTCAGATACTATCAGATGACACACATTAAACACACAAGAATGAAGTCATTATACACTGACATCGATAATGTCCCACTGGGAACAAATCGGTAAATAATTTATTATGCTTACTGTTCCATTTCAGTGCACCACAGGTAGTCTTCCTTGCCATTCATGTCGACGGGCAGCGGTCCCATCTTCCCCTGCC